CGCTGTCTAACCTCGTTCCCGTTTTTCGGTCCCTTTAGCGGAGAAAATGGCACGCTACTGCAGCTACAGATTCAAGTACCTCGGCATGGGGAGGACCGTCCTGGGAGATTCATGCATAGATTGTCTTCAAATAACGTTGCATGAATGGCACCCCCTGCGACAAATACCATACCAGAGCGCCTCAAATCAAAGTTTTATAAAACTGTTGTTTGCACAATGACGATCTACCGTACTAGACGTTGTTCCGCGACTGAAGACGCTGATGCGCGTGCTCGTCTGCTGATGGAGCTGGATGGTCGACGTTGCGCGCGCATTTCACTACATTTGTAAAGCTGCGTTCATACCTAGCGGCAGCGACCAGCAGCGTCTCGTGCGTCCGTCAGCGAACAGGAAAGTATAGGTACATATCTAGTGTGCATCAGCGACCAGGAGCGTCCAGGAACGGAGAGTAAAAGGCGATAAGAGGGTAGCGGACAGCTGGTGCCGCTCGCCCCATACTCTCCACCAGCAGTCTGCAACCCTCCTATCGCCCATATTCTCCGCTCCTAGACCTGCTGATCGCCTGTGGACGGGGTAGACGTTGCTGGTCGCTAGATCAAGACCTATACTTTCTCAGTCCTCGAGACGCTGGTAGTCGCTGATGGACGCTGAATCGATACCTATACTTTCCTACTCGCTACGCTAACGAACGTTCGAAACGCTGTTGGTCGCTCGTAGACGCTGCTTGTCGCTGCTGTAAAGTATGAACGCAGCCCAACGAAATCCACGCAAAAGCTTCAGCGCAGCTCTGTCAGATGACAAGATGAGTTTACTCTCAGTTCATGGTCATGCACCACGCGAAGGTTAACACCATTCACAGCACCGATCTGACTGTGGAGGTGCCTGGAAAAATACCTCAAGGACGCCCTCAACAGCGGTGGCTCAAATCCTGCATGAGGACTCAAACAGCGCTGACGTCTCTTTTGGACAGTCATTCAGAGAGCAGTTGTGCCACAGTGGGAAAGAGCTCACTTCGTTACAGAGTGGGACAAATGCTGAAGAAGAAGAAGACTCACCAAAGTGGTTTCAAAGCGGGGATTTTACTGATGAGATACTTGCGAGTGCTCTCTTGTACATTGCAGAGCCAACCAAGGATCCTTAAAATTTTCCTCAATAATTTTGAAATATTCATATACAAAGGGTTGTAGAAAGACTAATGGTAAGCAGGGGATGCTTACGTGTCAGCCTCCAGGTCTTTACTGATGGTTCTTCTTCGCACATCTCGGGATGTAAACCACAACTGGAATAGGGTAGAATTTCCTCGGATTTGCCTCGGAGATGTGCACCACTGCTTCGATACCTCACACTTACCTTGTCGAGAATTTGATAAGCAATCTTATCTTTGTAGGTTTTCAATTCGCTACGCAACTTCCAGAATTTTTGCATTTTTTGGTGCAGAGCGGGTTGTTCCCTCTTCAGTTTTTCGTCGAAAGTAATCCATTTGAAATACTAAATAGATACATATATGTGAAAAATACATAAATAGTAAATCTATAGCCATGTAGGATTCATTGAGTAGGCTTTGTCAGCCTCCCGAGATAGGAGTGCGTTACTGTGCTGACGTTTCAGCGAAAAGAGTTTCCGGTAGGGTTCCTAACCATGAAACACTCCGAGAAAGGCGATGTTCGCCGAGAATTCAGCACAGTAAAGCATCTCCATCATTCTTGGGAGGTTAGAGGCAGGTGCACGATGAATCCGAGGCCTGCAGAAATAATACGTTTAGCAGGATAGAATTCGGAGCTCCTGATCAGGCGCCTTCCTTCAGAAAAGGTACCTTCATAGCCCCTTGTCAAGCTGAAACGTGTGACCGACCAGGACGCTCACCGCGCTCGACCGCCCACAAATGCCAGACGCCAGCGAGAAACTCGTCCAAAAAGCTCGTCTAATGCCGTGCAGAAGAAAGGTTTCTCGAAGGTTTCTGACCGTTACACCCCGCTCTCTCGCCCTTTTTCACTAAATAGCACCCCTGCTAAGCGCCAGAATGTGCTCAAGGTACCACTCCGAAAGTATTAAGAATGGATGTATGATGCATCCCGAGACAGTTCTTCTCCCTCTAAAAGGGGTTTTTGACTTCATTCTCTCTTCATCCACCCTTTGAAAAGCAGGCCAGAGAACCTTTCTCTGAGCCAGGTAGTTTTGGCTAGAATATCCCACGCGAAAGTGCCTCGATCTCCTGAGCACGAATATCCCTCCATCTCAAAACTGTCTCCCGGACATCATAAACACAGTTGGTATTGTCGTGATCTGACGAAACGGTGCCATGAGGCGTGGTTTAGGCTCACAGGCTTCGAAAAATACCACTGGTTGGTTTCTACCTGAACACGGCAACTATTGGTGGATAGCGATGCCGCGGGTGGATTCAGTTAACCGCCTCCTGACACCCCGCGAGCGACATCAACTTTCGCCGCTCAAATACCTATAAGCACCGGATTTGCTGAAATTGGACCCAGAGCGTTTACTGAGCTTCTCAAGAAAACGTATGGCACTCAGCGAGCCTGAAAACGCTTGCTGCGTGCTCTAGACCGCCAGTGCTGATTCTGGCATGCGGTACCAGCATATAAGGTGTGGGCTCTATGCCTTAAGGATGAAGCCGGCGATCATTAACTATCACAAATAGTGGACTAAGTGTTTGTATATAAACAACAAGGCTCTGAGTAACTCGGTAGAAGAAAAAAAAGCAGAAAAAGGCATGGCAACTGCCCTAAATTGAACCCCATTCCGGCCACTTTGTACATGC